ATGTGAGGTGCAGCTTTGTCGTTCCTCTCGTGGGCGTTCCTGTCCGGCCCGCTGTCTGGATCTTTGCCGAGCTCGCGCTAAGCACGCGGTGGTGCCCGTGCGCTCGCATTATTCCCCACCTTTCACGTGCAGTGAATATTTTTGGTGAGAAGCATAGCCTGTGGTAATAATCAAGCCGCACACCGGCAGCCTAATAAGCTTCACAACCCCTTTCGCAGCGCAAGCAGCAGGCGAGACCTGTTCAAACTCCTATACAGACTCGTGACATTCAGAGCTATAACATACAACTACCCCAAACCTATCAACCCTTCCCATCCTCCCCTCTGCTCTTCCCAAATCAACCAAGACAACCCCTCAGTTACCCGACCACCAAGTGTAATTATTCGTCTCCGCCGCCGTATCCCACAACAACGCACTACTGCTATTCGCCGGCCGCCCCGGCCACGCATTCGCGGTCCCCATCCACGCCTCCACGCCCTCGAAGGCCGCGCTCCCGCCCTCCGCCACGTACACGCCGAAACCCGTGCTGCACTCCATGGAGGGGTAAATCCGCGTGGTCAGCGCGAAGCGCTCGTTGACGTAGACCTCCAGGATGGAACCATCGAGGAAGACGTCCATGCTGATGGCTTCCGCCTGGGAGCCGGAAGAGGTCTGGACGGTGTAAGGGCTGAAGTAACCCGTGACGGTGACGTTGGCGAAGCCGATGATGGTGGAGCTGTGCAGGCGCTCGACGAGGAGGGTGTTGTTTGAGGGCTCGTACATGATGGTCGTGTACTCGGTCATATCCGGGGACGCGGCGACGATGACACCGGCGGCGCCTGTGGTGGAGGTGATGGTCGCAGTGAGCTCTATGTGCGCAGAGCCCTGCTGCTGGAGGATTTTGGAAGTGGTGTACGTGCCGCTGCTGTACGACTGGTGCGCAGCGCCTGCGGTGATGCCTTGGACCACATCCGGCAGGGGCCGGACACCGAGTGTGCGAGCAGTGAAAGTGCCGTTCGCGTCAGGCGTGAGTGCAGATTCCTTGCTATCGGACACGGCGTTGTTGGCGTTCATCACACCATCGACTTCGTGCACGAATAGCTCTCTCGGCAAGGTCAGACTGCCCTGGAAGCCCTGTTGAGAAGCGCTGAAGAGCCCGCCGTCACCGACAAGGTCCTCCGAAGCCCACGCCCACTGCACGCGGCGTTTGTTCTTCGTGTCGTTGAAGCTGGTCAAGGCGTACGACAGACCCCAGTCTCCGGCTCCTCCAGCGATGGGCGTGAACTGTACGCTACCGTTGTCACGGCGCGAACTGCAAGGAAGATTAGCACACATTCACTCACCCCATGGTCGCACCCAGTATCCTTACATATTGCCCTCGTTCCAAAGCGCCCAATGCGCACTCTCATGAAACGACACATTCCCACCCTCCGTCCCCATATTAACAAAGTAATGCAAATCCCCCTTACTATCCGGCAGCGAATAGAACCCCGACACCTCGAAGTTAAACGCATACGTCCCCGTCGAAAGAACCGGTCCCAACGACGTATTATCCGCCGGCTCCCACAACGCGCCCAAGAAAGACCAGCTCGTCAGATCGCTCGCGGGCGCCGTCCACAACGGCATCCGCGGCCCGACACCCTTGATCCCGGACCCGAAGACGGCGTAGTAGTGCGGCTCGCTGACGCCCAGCACGGCGTCGAGCGCGGGCGAGGGCTCGAAGAACGGGTCCCGGAAACCCGTGACGTTCCAGTCCATAGGCGGGGTCCCCGTCGTCGCGTTGATGACCGGGTTGCCCTCGTACTGCTGGAAGGTGGCGCCGCCGTCGGTGCTGGAGGCGAGGCTCTGCGTCTCGGTGTATGGGGCGTAGAAGGCGGCCCAGCTGGTGGGGAGGTAGGAGACGGAGGTGTAGAAGAGGAGGAGAGTGCCGTCTTGCTCGCCGTGCATATTGACTGGCTGAGCCGTGCCGGAGAAGATGCCGAGACTGTTGTAGTTGGTCGAAGTCAGCGGATCCGTAGGCGCTGTCCTGCCGCCGCCACTGGGACCCATAGCGAGCGCTTCGGCATCCTGCCATCCGTCCTAGTCCGGGAGAGTCAGCAACACCCCTCACCAAGACATAACATAAGGTGGCGAGCTTACATGATCCTCCCAAGTAATCATGTCCTTACTCGTAGCATGGCCCCAGCTTATATTGCCCCAATTGATGTGCTGCGGGTGCCACTGGTAGAATAAATGGTACACGTCCCGGGTGGGATCGTACATGGATCCGCAAGGGTCGTTCATCCAGCCCGCGGGGGCGATGAAATGGCTTTGGGGCCGCCAGCGCGTGAAGAGGGTGTTGTTGCCCATGGCTTCGACATCCGCGGTGGTGAGGGGGGTGCAGCTTTGGGCGCTCCCGGTGGCAGAGGCTGAGCTGGCGGGTGCCGAGCTCGCGGCGGTGGGCGAGACTGATGCTGAGACGGTGGGCGAGACTGACATTGAAGCACTGGCTGCTACTGATGAGGCGCTGGGCCAGCCATGGCCAGGCCACGAGGTAGGACGGTGTTCAGGCCCCCATGAGCCAGGCCACGGACCCCCGGAGTGAGGACCCGGGTGCGGCGGAGGGCCGTAGTGCTCTTCCGCGAAGCCCAGAGGTAGAGCCGCCAGTAAGGCAGCGGAAGTGAGAGAGGCCTTCATGTTGCCGCCGGGTTGCAATGGGGGAGTCAACAAACACAGGACGGTAAGAGAGGGAGAGGGAGAAAGAAGTCTCACAAACCCTGGGCTCACGCGTGGGTTTTGTACATCACCTCCTACTAGCCCCAGCCGTCACCATCGATCATGTACGACTTCCGCCTTTGCTGCAGGAATCGGGTCCCATAGTTGGCGTCCACGAGGCGTCGTCCAGCTCGAAAGTCTCGAAGCCCATCGAAGCACGAGGCGTTCAGAGGTGCTATTACCTCATACATGTGCCTTTGCGGGGAAAAAACGCATGGAGCGGTGGGGCACCCCGCAGGACCGGCCGAGTAGACGGGCCGATTAGCACCTGCCCTGCTCGGCTGTGTTAGCCAGGAACGAGAAACTCTCCTCCGTTACTACATGTATCCGCGTTCGATGCCGTAAGAGGCAGGAGTGGCCAGGTCTGGATTGTGCACGGCCTGTCACTTCTCGTGGTAGGGTTCTTTCTCAAGGCAAGCGTCGCCGAGGGCGAGAGGACGGCATACGGTACCGTAGTCGAGAATTGATATGTGAAAGGCTGTTGCCGGTCAGAGCGCAGCGGAAATGCTGTGCTGTTCTGTCGTAAGCATACCCACGCTCGAACGCCATCAAAGAGTCGACGCCGTCCTTCGCTCGTCTCCCGTGTATCACATAATCATACCATCCCTCTCCCAAACAAACATCTACACCCCCCAAGCCTACGCCGCCTGCGCATTCCGACTCTGCCACATCCCCCTCTGCGCCTCTTCGATCCGCCGCCGCTGCTCCGCAATCTGCGCCTCCGTCTGCCCCCGGCCATGCCCGCGCGGATCGAGACTATCCACCTTCGCGCCGCCGTTCGCATCCGGCGCATCCGCCATCTCCGTATCCTGCGGCATCTGGCCCTCCCCGCTCACGTTCCCTTCCTCCTTCGGCTGCTGCTCCGCCGGCGCCTGCTGCTGCTGCTGTGCACTTCCACCCCGCTGCGGCGGCTTCGACAGCACGCCGTCCATCATGCCCATGCCGCCCGCGCGCAGCTGGTTGATCGCGCGCACCGTGTCGATGGCCTTGTGCAGCGTCCGCCGCGCGTTGAAATTCTTCTTCACCGTCGGCAGCAGATCCTCCTCTCCCCTCCCGCTCTCCGGACCCGCGATCCACTGATGTGAGAGCGCCTCGTGCGCGGTGATGCGCTGTGTCGGGTCGATAGTCAAGCAGCGCTTGATAAACTGCCGCGCGGTCAGGGAGACATTGCGCCAGTACTCCAGCGGCGTGAACGAGTAGTCCGCGGCGAGGATCGCCTGCATCTCCTCCAGATTCGAGTCCCGGTCAAACGGCGTGTACCCGCACAGTAGGAAATACGTAATCACCCCTATCGCCCACAAATCCACCGGCTTCCCGTGCCCGCTCTTCTTGAAGATCTCGGGCGCCATGTACCCGGGTGTGCCGCACGTGGTGGTCAGGACGTGGAACTGCTCCTCATCCATAATGCGGGACAGGCCGAAGTCGGCGATCAGCAGGTCCGCGTTGTCTTCGGGGGTGCGGAAGAGGAGGTTCTCGGGTTTCAGGTCGCGGTGCACGATGCCGTGGTCGTGGAGGTAGGCGACGGCGGAGAGGGTGGCGCGGATGAGGTCCGCGGCGTCGGACTCGTAGTACGAGCCCTTGCGGCAGATGCGGTCGAAGAGCTCGCCGCCGAGGGCGAGGTCGGTGACGAGGTAGACTGGACAGATACCGCATCAGCAGGCGCGTAGAGGAACGAGGTACTGCTCGGTCAAGTAGGAGAGCATACGGTTGTTCATCGTCTCAAAGTAATCCACCAGCGTCAGGATATTCTGATGGCCCATACTGACCCGCTTCAGCACGGCAATCTCATTCCGCACCATATGCTCCCGCCCGGCCATGAGGCGCTTGTTGATGACCTTCGCGGCATAGTAGCGCCCGGTGTCGATGTGCACGCATTCTTTCACTACACTATAGGAGCCTGCGCCGAGTGTCTTGCCGGTCTTGTAGCGGCAGGGCTGGACTTGCGCCGCGGCTTGGGGGGCAGCCATGGTAGGTGGGGGTGGAGAAGGAGGTTATCAATGTTGCCGCTGTGTGGTGGGCGAGGAGATGGTGAGGTACGTTCAGCGACTGTGGTATTGCTAAGAATGCAATGTGGTATGGACGTGACTACAGGAGACGGAGCCGCTGTAGTGTTGAAAGTCGCGAGCTGAGCTGAGCCCCGAACCCGCGAACGTGGGGTCGACCGGCTTGTGAAAGTGCAAAGTCAGCAAAAGGGACGGAAGACCTTGAATCGTCGTTCCTTCTCGGAAATGCAAGTACAACGAATGATATAAGATGGCAAAAGGGAAAGCTCTCCAGCCGGTTCGAACGACTGACCTTAGGATGAATTGCAAGGGCTGCAATCCCACGCTCTACCACTGAGCTAGAAGAGCATATTTTGACAGGAGAGAATGTTCTCACGTATACGTGAGACGAGCGTGTTCTAAATTTGATAGTTTTTATACTCTACCTGGATAAACCTCGGTTCTATACCCTGCACACGACGCGCCCGCTGTGTCTTCCTCGGCTGCCCAACATCACTCCGTTCGCATCAACACCACCGAGCATAGATGTGCTTCAGCCTCTACGGCTACGGTAGGGCCCTTTGCTGTGGTTGGGAGGCCAAGTACCTGCAGTATGCACGGAAAGCGCCTCCGGCCCACACCTTCCACCTCTCTCGAGCTCACATGCGGATATCGAATGACGCGGCCGTGCTCCTGCTCTTGACTGCGACACAAGCGAGCGTGTGGCGGTGATATACCATCCACATGACCGTCCTGTAGTTAACGTCGAGCATTGTCAACCTATTCCTGCTGCTTCTCTTGCACCACTTTTCTCCTCTAAAACGGCCACATCGTTGACATCAACAGCCTGTCGAAAGCTCAGCGCCTTGAGCAGATGGTAAACGAGCCTCGAGAGATCCAACACACCCTTCTGGCTGACCTTCGGCAACACCCCACACCCTGAGAGACACGAACAACGCCGCCGAGTCCGTCATCCTTCGCCACACCATGGACCTCGTCTGGGACGTAGTCGACCAAGGCCGTCGAGCCACCGTCGACCTCCTCCACGGCCACGAGATAGACCACTCGGCACCCTTCTCACCCGACGTACCGGAGGACCTACGTAATTGGCTCCCCGACCTCTTTGACCGCTTCCCTATCATCTTGCCGTGGGAGAAGCCTAAACCCGTCGACCCAGCACTCCACAATGTCTGGATCCTCGAAAACACCGCTTTCAGAACGCCTGCTTCGGGAGACCATAGGCCTGAGCTCGCGGAATTGCAGGATGCCAACGCGGCCAAGCCGAAGATGGCCAGCGAGCCGGGACAGACGACGCAGAGTGTCCAGCCTGGCAGTGGAGGGTGGGAGGTCGAGTTCGTCGCCGCCTATTTTATCAAGAACAGTGGCAAAGGACTTGCACATGCTACTGCTAGCCTCGTAAAGCAACTCAACGTGGATGACCACGACGAGGCGACGAAGAAGCGGATCAGTGCCAGACTGGAAGCCTTCATTGACAGTGTACTGCCGAATCGTACCGTCCGCATCTCCATCGACAACAAAGAGGAGCAGACACTGGGCCCGTCATCATACTCAGGCCTGAGCTCAGGTCTTCTCCAGCTCCACTTCCCACCCTCGGCGCCACAGATCCAGTCCAACGCCCTCACGCTCCCGCCACCCTTCGGCCTGCCCAGCACCACGGTATTCGCAGAAGAACAAGGCTGGGGCATCATCAGCGACATCGACGACACGATCAAAGTCACGCAAAGCACCAGTCCCATCGGCATCCTCAAAACCACCTTCACGGTCGAAACCCCCCAACCCATCACCGGCATGCCCGAGCTCTACGTCCACATCCAACGCACCCTCACCCTCCAACCCTCCACCAATACCAATACTAGTACCACCCAACAGCCAAACCCACCCCCCTTCTTCTACCTCTCGGCCTCCCCCTACAACCTCTACCCCTTCCTCCTCCACTTCCGCAACACCCACTACCCCCCCGGCACCATCATCCTCCGCGACGCCTCCTGGCAGAACCTCGGCGGCCTGATCGCCAGTCTCCAGCAGAACACGCAAGCCTACAAAGCGGACCGCATGACCAAGATCCACTCCTGGCTGCCGCACCGCAAGTTCGTGTGCTTGGGCGACAGCACGCAGAGTGATCCCGAGGCGTACGGGGAGATGGCGAGGAAGTACCCCGGCTGGATCCGGGCGGTGTTTATCCGGAAGGTTGTGGGGATCGCGGGGATGGATGAGAGGGTCAAGAATGCGGCGGGGAGGTTTGAGAGGGCGTTTGAGGGGCTGGAAAGGGGGCTGTGGCATGTTTTTACTGAGCCAGGGGAGTTGGCCGGGAGGGTGGATGAGTTGGCAAGGGATGGGGAGGCGATGGTTGGGGGGGAGTGATTGGGTGATGGGTTGGCATGGGTGGAGTTGCATGATCATGTTTGTCGCATGATCATGTTGTCACGAAGGCATGAGTGAACAGATAAGGCGCGCCACGGCATCAATTATGGGTTACATTGACAGTACGCCTTGACAACAAGGAGCTGCCTAACAGTAGCATCCATAGTAACGTATGCATCCTGTAACGAAGCTGTATACAAAGCACCCAGCCTGCGTAAGGTAAGTAACCCGGCCTGCCTACCTACCTACTCCTTGCGCATTTTTCTCTCCGCAAAACCGAAGAAACCGCAGAGCCATCTCGAACGCTCGCAATGCAAATCGGGGGTATAAAAACAAACCCGCCCGGCCTGAAAGAACCGGCCAAACAAGTTCATCAAGTTTCTGTCGTTAGATCGTTGAATATAAGGCAGCCAAAGCATGACTCCAAGTAAGCAAGCAGACAAGGGACTGCCTGCCCTCCGTCTCGCTCAAACCGCGTGCGTATTCTAGAAGCGATATAGCCCAGAGCAAACAAACCCTGCCAAACCTCGCACCTCACACCTCACCCGGGCATCCGACTCCCCCGCCTCCGATGGAAAAAATTCCTTAGACTCATCGTCCGACTCCCCTTCAAACGGCTGCTGGCTGGATCCCGGCGATGATGCGGCAACGAGGCTGGCTCTGTCGTCGGGCGGGACCACTTTGGGGTCGGGAGTCCGGTGGGAGGCGGTGGTGTGGCTGCGCATGCTCGCTGCGGAGGGCGTGAGGGGCTCGTCGGCGCGGGGGAAGAGGCCGAGGCGGGAGGGGGGGCGGGGGGAGGGCTCTTCTGGGTGTGGGGATGTTGGTGGGACTGTGGCTGGTACTGGTGTTATTGGTGCTGGTGCTGATGCTGATGCTGGTGCTGTTGCTGTTGCTGTTGTTGTTGTCGGAGCTGCTGTGCTGGGTCTAGCGGCAGGTGTGCGAGGGTTCCTTTCCGTGCCGGAGGAGTAGGCGGAGTCGGTCGGTGGGGCTGGGAAGCCGGGTATGGTGGTGGCGTCTGGAGGGTGACCGTCCGGAGGTTGGATGTGCTTGAGGCGGTGGGAGATGCGGCGCGCGAAGCCGGTGCTGTGATGCGTAAGGTATCAGTATTGACTCGATGCGGGTTTTGACTGGAAGTTGGGCTCACCTAGCTACCGAGTCCTTCCTCGCCGCCGGTGCGTAGTCGCTCGTAAGCGCCTTGTCCGCTCCGCGACTGCTGGGTCGACTCTTCGCATCTCTGTTATTGCTCTGGCTCGTAAGAATAACAGCCGCGCCGTGGCTCTTCGAGCGAGCTGGTGCTTCCGCAGTAGCCACTGCGTTCAACAACTCATTGGCGCCTTGACTCCGCGAACGATTCGCTCTCCTCTCTAGCAGGCCGGGCTCACCCTTCCCGCCGACTGCCCCAGGCTCCGGCGGATTGCTCCTCAACGGACCAGAGTGCTTGAGGAAGTCCGCGAGGTCCGACGTACCACTACTGGACATACGAGCGTCCCTCGGTGCTCCCGCGGTCCGGGGTCTCGGTGGAGTGCCATTCGGCATGGCAGACACTCGGCGGGAATTCGAAGGTGGTGACTGAGGCGATTGACGGGGCTGCTCATAGCGTTGCGCAAAGGGTATAGGGTGCAGCTTCGGCACCGTCATCCGCGATGCGCCCGCTGCCGTATCGGGTTCTTTTGGAAGCGGTTTGTTCAATGCAAGCGCTATGGTCGGCATGGGCTCCGCATCGTCTCGCGCGAACTTGGACCGCAAGCCCGGCGACGCTGGTAATGACCGCGTTGATCGCGAAGGTGACTTTGCTCGGCTCTGCGGCGCACCCCGTCTACTCGCCGCAGCAGCCAACTTCGACATCTCGCCAATAACCGTACCGAGCTGTATGAGATGGTTGCCTAGGTTGTTGCCCTTCGCCTGCAGGTCCTTCAAGTACTTCTTCCAACCTTGCTCGTTCCCGTGCATTGCGCCGAAGACCTCCGCTATCCCGTTGTTCTCTCGCGGCCATTGCTCTTTGATGCCGTCCAGGTACTTGCCCAGCTCATGAGTCGCCTGTAAGCCCTTCCTCACATCCATCAACGCCGCGTTCATAGCCTTTGCCGTACGATCGATGATCTTCTCAATGTTGTCGTTGCCGTTCAGCAGTTGGGTGCGGAACTTCTTGTCGTCGAGCATGGCATTGAAGACTTCCAGATGTTCCATTGGCAGCTTCAAATGCCGTATCCGCTCCTCGATATCTGCGATAGCAAGACCAAAGTCTTCGGATGTGCGCTCGAGAAAAGTGTCCACCTCGTTGACGTGAGTCTGGAGGATCCGGACCACTTCCTCGTTGGACTTGGCTTGTCCCTGTTGCAACAGATGCATGCCAAACACGATTTGCGCCATGAGCTTCAGCAGAGGATGGTGTCGCGCGCCGGGTTTCTGCTTCCACCTCGTCGTCCAGGAGTCGTCGTATTGATGCGCTTCGAGCAACTTCTTCCGTCGGGCTTCTGCGTCGGAATTGAAAGACGAGGAGCTCCCGTCCGCCTCCGTGGACTCCAAGATGGACTCCTCGAAGGCGCCCTGCAGCGACGGCATGGGATGCACGGGCGGTTCCATCACGGACTCTGCATCCTCGTCCTCCCCACCGTCGGGCTCGTGGCCAGAGAAGGAGTGGAACTCCTCCTCATCGCTCTCGCTGACCTGCGCCAATGCCATACTCCTACACCCCGACAGAGCCCAGCGCCGTCGTCTCTACCAGGTACCAGACGCCCGAGGGGATCTCACGGGCACCGGGAAGCTGCTCGGCGGGACCTGCAAGAAGGGGTCGACCTGCAGGCCCGGCGGAGCTCTACTGCTAATCTTAGAAGGATGGCATCTCACACGCGAGACAATGCTGATGTGCCCATGGCTGCCGGTGAGGTTGGGGTGGTGGTAGCGAGGCGGGTAGTAGAGGAGAGATATGTACAGAATATGAGAAACGATGGGTTGATATTACCAAGATGATACAGACGGGTGTGACA